GGTCTAATGAGATTCTTTGTGGCAGAATTATACATTCTCACGAGTTCCATGAGTTTGTTTTGGGCACTTTGCCTCCATGTGTAGCTCGACAGGCACAGCAGTCCCACAAATTCTGTTTTATGTATGTCTGCATGGCTCACAGAGATGCATTGCCTTGCTTAAACCTCCATGAGTTAGTGGCAACTTTGCCCAGCTCTCCACACTATTCAGTCTTGGGATCAGAACTGGGCAATACCTAYAATCCCTTCTCTTTGGAGAGGACACCACATGACTTCTCACACAGATCCCAGGGGCCTGTGAGGAGGACACACGTACTGAATGCAGGTTAAAGTCAAAAGATCATGAAGGTTCAGCAAGGGAGGGAAGCCTGTAGATGACAGGACGCCTTCGACGGTGTCCTCTAGAGATGGCTTTGGGCCACAGAATGGATTGGGTTTGCCCTGGTGGAGACAGCTTCCACCAAGCAGTAGGAAGTGGGTGAGGCACAGCCAACAGGGTATACATCAGCAGGTTAATGCTGGAAACAAAATAAGAGTGTGAGGGTGGCCCTTGCAGCCAGAGGAGGGCTGGCTGGCTTTCTCCTCGGCACTGAATGGTCAAGCCAAGCCCAAGGGTTCCTGAACTGCATAGYGGAAGAAAGACCAGAAGAAATACACAGCATTCTATGTATTTATGGCTATAAAATCTGAGGGGATACTCCTCAGCCTCTTTGGTCACTGATCTTTAGGGGGTAAATGAGATGAAAGAGAACCTTATAGTTCTGTCTAGGAGGAGCTGGAACTCAGCTACTCCTTTTAATTTCAAGACAGAGGAAATTAAGGAAAGTTCCCTCAGCCTCCTTAGGCACGAAATGCATTGAGTTTCACAGAAGTACTTATGTGAAGCCAATTTGTAAACGATTAAGAGGAAGGAAGAGATTTGGTAATGAAAAGTTGGTAGAGAATGTATAAATACACTGTATGAAGCATCTTATAAAATACACAACATCKTACAGTATTGTGAGGTTGACAGGGGGCCCGAGGACAGATGTTTGTCTATTTGACAGAGCATGCAGAGAGTTACGACTTCTTTTGGTAAATGCTGAGTGACAATAGCAGGTTTTAGTATTTCATTCTTTGTGGGTTCTGTTCCAGAATATTTGCTCTTAAAGTGAAGACTAAGGGGGAAATAAGGGTACAAAATATGCCTTGATATTTCCAAGGGAACTTTTCTAAACATCTCAAGTGGACATTGGTTAATACCAGAATATTGAAGGTACATATAGATGTATCAGTGTGTTTAAAAAAAATAAAATCTACTATCTAATTTAAGAATGACTTCTCACTATAGTAATATCTAATTGGTAAGAGACATAACCATAGTCTTTTCTAAGGTATTCTTGTAAGAATTTCKATCTTAAAGCTTATTCAAGCAACTTTAAATATCTGGGTTTTTTTCTTTTTCTTTTTTTTTTTACTATAGAAATCAGTCAGAAAGGAGGGTTTATTTTTTCTTTGGGTGGGTAAATATGAGAAGATGGACAGTGCATTAAAAAGTAAAGAGAAGGGCTTCTTCAAGCGGATTTACATATTGATTACTTAAATTACCACTTAATTTAGTGCCTGCTAATAAACTGTGCCTTGGAAATGTTTTCCGAACATTTATTGGCTGCAGTAATTCTACCTACAGTGTATGCGGATCACATCCTCATTAAATATTGATGCGCTCATGAAATGTTAATAGAATGTTAATGTGAAATACAAGGGAATGTGCTCCCTGGGAGCTGGGATCCCAGAGCCAGCTGAAAACTACCTGTCTCCTGTCTTGTCTTTATGCCTGTCTTCTCCCTGTCCTGCTCCCCTCCCCTGCCCCCATTCGTCTTCCCATCATCAGGAGTTTCAGATTTGCTTCCTGATCTGGATGTCTCCAACATAGGATTTTTAAAAGAGATATAGGATTCCCTGGTTGATGGGGACTTAGTTGTTCTCCCGTCCTGCTTTCCCTGAACTGAAATCCCTGGTGAGAACCAGGAAGGATTCCCTTAAGAGAAAGAGGGTGATTCAGACTTGGGTCTAAGGAGATTCTTTGTGGCAGACCAGGCAGAGGGAGATGAGGCTTTCCGGGACTCCAGCCATGGCCCTTCACTGCCTGCTAGGAAAAAGGGTGTAGTTGGAGTTCCCCTTCTGCTTTCTTCAAGAAAAACCAGCCCATAACATGTGCTACCTGCCTAGAGAGATTGTAAGGAAGCATTTTTCATCATCCCTCTCAGGGAGAGTGAAGGCTGTGTTCATGATGATATTCCATGTATAATTATTCATGTGAGCGTACGTACGTTACAAATGGTTGAAAAGTCCCACGAAATGGCACAGTTCATCAGCTCCTTGGATGATCACGAAGGCTGTGAAAACTGCTGGTGATACATCACGTTAAGTCAAGATCCAGCATGCCAGCTGTGAATGTGATCCGTAGGGTCAGGTAGAAGTGTCAAGTGGCAAGGAACATCCATAGATGGAAACAGTTCACTTTGTCATTAGAGTACTGCCAATGCATGTAATTGTGTGTGTGTGTGTGTGTGTGTGTGTGTGTGTGTGTGTGATTGTTATGGTGTTTATACAGAAAATAATTGGAGCACATTTTTATTAAATTCCTACTTCTTTAGTTTTAAATAACTCAACCCTCTAATGAGCTGTCCTTATCACTCCTCTTTGTAATTACCCTGCCTGCCTCAATAAAACAGCTCTTGTGCTTACTTTTCCTTCACACCCACCCCCTCGGCTGGCTTTCTTCTTCCCTTCCTCCAAGTTGTCTTCTTCTGATCTCTCTTTCTTAAGGGCCTTCCCCTCCTTGCCTTCCTTGCTCCCTCTGGGTCTCTCCCCTACCATCTGGGCTTCCCTACTCACTCTGCTCCAGACTGGYCCCTCCAGGTCCTGGAAGTTGCCCCACACCAGGTCAAGTTCCTCTATGCTGTAGATCAGGCAGTGTGCTGGGCTGCCTGAAATGCACCCAGCTTCCCTCAGGCAACACTGACCTTGATCCTTCTATMTGCAGTGTTTTCTTTCTTACAGACCTTGACATAGCAAAGCTCCTTTTCTCATCTTTTGATTCTCARTAGTCAGAGAACCTCCTTTGATCATGTCATCTAAACTCTCTCCCTGAAGATTTCCCTGTCACTTTTTATCATAAGTTTTTTTTTTTTAAAAAAATTATGTTATTTTATTTTCATTAGCCCCTGTGATGACCTGTAGCTACCTCTTTTGTTTTTAATCTGTCTCACTTTAATTGTAATGAATACTCAGARGTCAGGAATTTTATTTACCTGGTTCCTCATATGATGAGGCCCAGCTATCTTCCTGGTAGATAAGAGGTACTTGATTAATATTGTTGATTAAGGGCTGGGGATGTTGCCTCAGTGGTAGAACATTTGCCAAGTGTGTGTGAAGCCCTGGTTCTATTCTCAGCTCTGAAAAAAACTGTGTGTGTGTGTGAGTGTGCATGCACACACACACACACATACACACACACACGTGTATAGTTGATTAAGTTGATCAAATACCATCCCCACCACTTTGCTACCCAGAATCTAGATAGGTGTCAGTTTGTTTTGTGTTACTATAGTGAAATACCTGATGCTGGATAACTTTGTACAATAAAAAAGATTTATTTTGCTCACAGTTCTAGAGGTTTCAGATTAAGAACCTACATTGGTGATGGCCTTCCTGCTGTCAGAGTTCTGAGGTGGTATAGCATATCACATGGCAAGAGAAAAGGAGCATACATTTGTGTCTTCTTCCCTTTTCTTATAAAGCTACCAGTATTCAGTCATGGGGCTCTACCCTAATGACCTTATCTAATCYKAATGACCTCCCAAAGGTCCATCTCTAAACAYCATGGTCAGATTAAGTTTCCCTCTCTTAATTCCTCATAGTGGGGATGAGATTTCAACACATGAAKCCTTAGGGGACACTAAAATTATGTCCACAACAGAGCAAAGGGGAAACAAAGGGGCAGTCAGTCTCTGCAGAGCCTCACTTTGAAGGTACCAGGCCACTCTTGCTTACTGCAGAAGAGTTTCAGGAACAACTTTAGACATGAACAAATGGCGTATAAGACAGAGAAATAACTAGCCTTCTTGGGAATTTTTCCTTTTGTGACATATGAATTAGAAGTTTAGTTACCTGAGTGTTTTGTTGCTCTGTTCTGATCTTATTTAATCTATGTGTAGAATATTTCCCTTAAATTTAAGTGATGGGAACATATTGAGGTGCTTAAGGAAAGGGGAGAATTTCTTAGATGAAATAAAGGATTTTCAGAGGAAGAACCAAGTAAACAAACCCTGAGGCCAGAGAAGTATCTCTGCCACAGGAATAAGTGGACCCCGTGACACAAATACTATTCTCATCTGTTTTTCTTTGCACTTGGGCTTCTTTTTCATTTTTTTTGCAGGCCAACATCTGGGTAACTTCTGACCTGACCGCCATCAGCATAGGTRGACCAGTTTTTCCCCTTTTAGGAGATGGCTCAGGGAGGGACTCTGTTTGGTCCCTTTTGTGTCACATGTCCCACAGAAGTGGTTCAGTCAACAAATGCCAGGGGTGAGATCTTGCAAGAACACAGAAACTTCCACAGGAAATGTAYAATTGAAACACAGGAATTGAAGCCACAGAAGATTTTTGCTGTTCCCAAGAAAGGGAAGCTAAGATTGGAATGCCTGGACTGTAGTTTTGTCTCAAGTGAAAAAAATCTTCATTGCACTGTTTTGAAAAATTCCCCATAGATACCTCTGTGCAAATGGAAACCAAGATGCAAAATATTTCCTGATTAAATSAGAGAGAGTTGTTGTGGGAGATTTGGAAAACTTGAGAATTCAGGATCCTGCATACTCACTATTATGTGCTTTTTTTGCCCTGGCCCTGACAATCTTAGTTTGGGGATCTGGAGCTCCTCTATTGGAACAGAGCCAGTGTTCTGAATCTTTTCAGCCACTGACTTCCCTTTCTGACCTATATCCTTTTCTACTGCAGATCGTGCTGGAGAACAGTAGCCGAGAAGATAAGCATGAGTGTCCCTTTGGCCGCAGTAGTATAGAGCTGACCAAGATGCTGTGTGAGATATTGAAAGTGGGCGAGCTGCGTAAGTACTCTTGTTTGCCACATGGCGGGAAGCTTGGCAGCACCCAGCTGCAGGTCCCCAGCCTATGMAAAGAATCCCAAGGTGCTGACTGCTTCTCACGATCACTACTCTGGAACAGTTATTCTTTGGCTCGGGCTTACARTGTCTGCATTTCCACGTGTCTGTTCTGGATAGAAACATTGAAACCTGTGAGAGTGGAGAATTTTGCAGATATTGTGACTGAGTTTCAAATATGTTAAAAATGAATGTATATTATACCAGTCTTGTTGCAGGTTAGGAAAATGTGGAACTCTTTTTTTTTAATTCCAGTTCATAATCTACCAGTAGATCATTTTCTCTTATTTCTTTCAAAACCATTTTTCTCTATAAAGAAAAATTGAATACCTTAATGAAATTTTCTTGCTCCTAGTGTTTCTGTTGTACAAAGTACTTTCTCTAAGGGAAAAGGAATTATTGAAGAAAATGGGTAGCTACAACTGAAAAATATAGTCAGAGATATGCTTATGGTTCTTTTTCTTACTTATATTGTTGATTTTGCAAGAGGATGGCTGGAGAAAGAGGAGGGGCCAGTTTTCTTGTCTGTTGCTCATTGGCAAAATTTGGCTTTAGCCAATGAAGGTGGATATGACTTAACCTTTCCCCAATCTCATTGTCAATGTTGACATCCTTAAAGTGGCTGACTTCGACTCTCTCCCACATCTATGGAGCCAGCAAACTTATAAATCTTTGCTCTTAGCCTTAATAACATCAGTGCTGGAGAAGACTCTTTATATCAGGAAGTCATTGGGGTGTTTGGTATTATTGGGAAAGCATAAATATGCAGTCTTCTGCTTGAGAGCTTAAAATAATGGTCTAGAATGATGAATGGGAAGGAATCCAATGATTAAATTGAAAAGGGGGGTGATCTTTATATACACTGTAGGACTGATTATAGCTGCTGCTGAGACCAACTTAGAAAATTTAGTACTTAGCAAAGGCTAAGAGTTTGAGTGTGTTTGACCAAGCAAAAGGCCTTGTCACCCTCCAGTGAGGACGGGTCCTGAGAAGAAACTGACCTTTGATCTGGAACTGCATGAAGTTCATTACTTTTAGGTGACCCAATCAGTGCATTTTCACATTACGATAGTAGCAACCTAACCTGGAGATTTCTGTATTAATCTGCTCTCATTTACTTTTTACCAGATGTTAAGATTTCAATCTTGGACATGAGTTATCTGTCCCACCCCCTAATTAAACTAGCTCCTGAGATCGTAGGCTGCAGTAACGCTTAGTGTTTATTCAACTTAGGATGGAAGTCCTAAATCACCCAAATCCCACTGGATTTATCCACCTGATCACTATGACAATTTCATGTTTATCTCAATTTCAGAAGGGGGAATTGTTGAAAGTCACTCAATTTAAAGCATCTCAAGCCCATCTGAAATTTTTTGGAATTAGGAAACAATCCTGTTCTTCTAGGTTCTGATTTCTGGGTTCAAGTTGTTGCCCTGTATCGCCCCTATCTCTCACCAGCCCTTCCCATCCTAGCCAGTGACACTGTGGCTGTCTGCTGTCCTCTCGAAGGCAGTAGGAGGTACCCAGCTTTCTGCTCTTCTCCTTTCCCCCGTGGACATGTCTACCATAGTGATATGATGTAGAAGCAGGAGAATGTGGTTGGTGAAGAAAAGCTGGGTCCTCTCCTCTTTGCCACTTAGGACCATGTGTCTTTGGGGAAATTACTCACCAACCTCACTATCCTCTTACAGCCCTGGTTTTTCCCCAGGGCAAAATATCCAAAAATGGTTGGTCATATTTTGGGTGATGGTCTGGGTGGGTTGTCTTCATTTTGTGGTTAAGATCATGGAGTTAGCTGTGAGAAGATTCCCTTGGGGGCAGGTAATATTCAACCTGGAGGGATTGACTTGGAAAACATAGCCAATTTCCACAGTGTGCCTGGACAGAGTAAAGGCAGTCCTAATTTAGGCAGAGTTTTGGGTCTGTRGGTCCCTATCTGGTGGGCAGAAGAGAACCATGGTGGCAAGAGTCTGAGCCCATGTCTTCCTCCAGTGAGCACCTGCTGTGTGCCTAGGGTTGAAGTAGGTACAGAGTAGGGGACAGGATTTGACCCCTGGCAGGTATAGAGTAGCTCTCTTGGCCTTTTGAAGACTTGGTAGTCAWTCCTAGAAGCAGGACAGAACCTCATTTCTCTGGACTGAGGTTAACAGAATGGAGATGGAGGCAAATGCTGTAGAGAGGCCAGAGGTGATGGAGATGCTGTTTTTGCACTGTAGCTTACTCTATAACCCACCTTCTGGTGAAGAGAAAGTCCCTAACATTCTGCCACAACTCACGCAGCATCTGGTCAAGCTGGTGTCTACAGTCAGGCTGGGTCCTGGTCTTGTCAGGCCAGCTTGCTTTCATCTAAAACAACAAATGCATTTATTCATTTGTTCAATAAAAATCTACTCAACACTTAAAATGTGCCAGGAGCACATGGGGTACATATGAACCAGATACAGTGCCTGTCCCCCCAGGAGCTTCTATAATGTCTTAGATTTCAGAAAGTGGAGGAATGAGTTGGAACTGATACTTTTTTCCTGTGAGTTGAATACATTATATTTTAAAATAAATSCCTAAATGTTTGCCTATTCTAAAACATAATTTTCTCAATGTTTTGAACTTTGAAGTTCAAGTTTCCAGTTTGACCTTTTTCTTACCAGCATCTGTAAAGGCCATTCGGGATATTTTTCAAGGCTTACAAAAAACTTTCACGTTTCTGGAGTCTACATGCCCAAATGAGTTGTTTTCTGCTCATAAAATATTAAAAGATTGCCACATTCTGATTGAATGCTAGACATCAAATGATAAAACACCCCATGGTAAGAGGAAAATTGCTTTTTTAATAGATTGCTTTTTGCCCATTGCCATATTAAATAAGTTACTAATATGAAAAACAAATCTGAATGCACCCTTATGTTGAAGGAGATATCTATTTTTCTTCTGAGGAAAATTAGTTTCACACACAAATTTATCTTCCTTTKGTTTGCATGCATCTATTTTTTCTCATTCCTAAGTTTGTGGTTCAGAGCACTATTCAGATTTGTGTTAATAATTGACCTCGAAGACCAGGGTCAGTTTAGTTCTTGAACTAAGCACTGAGACCAAAGAAGCAATTAAAAATCCAATTGGTTGAAAAAAAAAAAAGAAGAATGTTTACAAAAGTACAAAGATTCAATTTTCTAGAAATGGATTCTCTTTTGATTTTAATTTTAGGTCTCTTGAAATACCAATTATATTTTGGCATCCAAAACAAACATATTAATGTTCAATTAAGTTACTTATACCAAATATTTATGTATTTTTAAAGGTTCCCTTAAAAATCACTATTTTTCTGCTTCCCAATTATTGATGTTCCAAGAGGCAAATATTATCTCTAACAGTGTGGTCTAAAATAATGTCTATTTATATTCTTAGAGCACTTTATCAAGGTTATTTAACTGAAGTCTGTAGAACCCCCAGGAGTTAATTAAGATCAATACCATCTATGTTTATTAATGAAGGGAAGACCTGCACTAACTGCATTCTGTCTAAAGTCACTGAGCTCAAACTGGTGTTGAGAATGCCCGAGTAGGAAGAAGCTGAGTGGTAGTATTTGGACATCCTGAATAATCCATCTTTGAATGACAGCCCAGCTCCTAATTGGATGCCTTGGGTACATTGACCTTCTGTTCTGAGCTTCTGATTCTTTATCTATAAAATAAAGATCATACCTTTGCATGCATTTGATGGGWGGCTTGAGAGAATGCATGTTGCCTTTAGAAAATGGGTAGTTATTTTGTTTTTGTTTTGCTTTGATTTTTTTTTTTTTGCACGATAGAATTTTACTTTCTATGAGTAAACTGCAGGTTTAATGAGGTGGGGAACGTGTTCCCACATAAGTGGCAGCTGGAACCAGGACCTGGAACAATATCCCTCTCTACATACTGGCAAAAATTTAGTATAATTGGTCCTCCATGTCCCTGRATTTTGAATCCATAGATTAACCAACTGTGGATTGAAGAATTTGGAAAAAAATTGAATCTATACTGAACATTTGTAGCTAACATTTTTTTCTTGTMATTTTTCTGTAAACAATATAGTATAGCAATCACCTGCATAGTATTTACATTGTATTATGTATTGGAAGTTATCTAGAGATGATTAAAGTATAAAGGCAGGAATGATTTTGGCCAAATTATGTTGTTATATTATGTGCATGTATGAATAWGTAACAATGGATTCCACCATTAGGTATAATTGTATGGAAACRATATTTTAAATTTAAAATTTTAAAAGTATGAGGGAAGATTGTGTAGGATATATAAAAATACTACATTATTTTATGCAAGGAACTTGAGCATCTATGGATTTTCATAACCTCTGGGGGTACTGGAATTGATACCCTGTAGAACCCAAGGACAACTGTGTTCTTTTTAGCCTGCTTTTTCAATAAGGTTCTTTTGAAAGCAAGGCCTATGTTTTCCCTCTGTTTCAATTCTAAAAGTTGGCAATTCACGAAAGAATTCTTAGAGTCCCTGTTGTGCTCACAAATCCCCATAGCCTGCATTGTATAATGGGCAGCCCCAGTTAGGAGAATAAGAGTGAAGGAGAAGCAGCGAGTCTTCAAAGGAAGGGTTATATTTGTCAGTGTGGAGTCAGTGAGGGTGGAGGGAGGCAGGCGGTGGTGCCTCAGAGAAGAGAGGAATCACTTGGACATATCCAGATGCTCATTACAGAYCTGAAATCCTTAAAAAGATACCCAACTTCTAGCAGGGGAAAAAAAAAAAAGAGTCTTTGATTTTGTTATTATTACATTCATGCCCCAAGACATAATAAATTGTTGACAGATGCAAGGAAAAATTGATTTCTGATACAAACAGGTTAATTATCTTTTGAATATATAGCACCTTACTCCAACTATATTCCAGTGTGGGTAGAGGAAGGATCTGTCTGTCTCTGTCTTGCAGTCATTCAGTAACTAT